CCCCAAAACCCCAAAACCCCAAAACCCCAACTTCAGTAATTTCAATTGAAATTATCTATTAACTCTGGGTGATAGCAGCTTATTAAATGACTTCTTGACCATGGACTTGTGAGTGGTGTACGAGTGAGGTAGGGAATTTAGGCGGTGAGAAGGGGATAAGCGGGGAGAAGTGCCGAAGAGATTTGGGGGTTGGAAGGGGTTTGGAGGGGGGTTTAGGGGGGATTTTAGGTATTCGCCAGGGCCAGGCGAGAATTTGGACTTGGATCTTGTGAAGCGAGGGGATAGGATGTTGAAGCCGCATTTTTGGGAACCGTAGAAGATGGGGGGTTTGAGGAGGATACAGCTGTTGGTTTTGTTTAGTTTTTCTTTGTGGGCTTTTTAGGAGAAGATGTTGTTCTTGAGCACATCAGCTTGGAATCTCCTTTCAGATGAATGGTAGTCTATAGGAAATGATATGCTATTCCTTCTAAATTATTTACTTTTCTTAGGATTCTCTAATCTTTGAGATTGAGACTTGAACATGTGGGATGGCTTTACTTTATTTATTTGTTTTATTCTTTCAGTCACTTGCTTATTGCGATTCTTTTTCTGCTGGAGAATTGACTCTATTAAATAGAAAGAAGAGGCTACCGTTAGTATCATTGGAAGTATTGAAATTAGTATTTCTTAGCGTAATTTTTCTATTCTTCTTGATGTTTTCTTGGCACTTTTCCAGCTTGAATCTTTTGCTAGAGGATCCAAATGGGACTTTCTTATATCTTGCAGAGAGCTTGTGATCTAGCATCTTTAGTTCCTCTCTAAACCCGCAGTCATATTGTCCAGGGCCTGGTGGATCTGCCTTTTGGTTCTTAGATTCATTAATACTTCTATCTTTGTTAAGAAGTTTTGCATTTGCCAGAGTCATAGCTCTATTTTGGTTCAAACTATCTTGCATCTTCTTAATTTTATTTTCTGAATGTTCTTTTCTGTGCTTTCTCCTTCTATTATATGTACCCACTCCAGGGTTGAAAGTAGAAGTTGGATCAGAGAAAGGAGCCTCAAAGATATTTCTGTTCATTAAGTACTCTCTCTCAGTCGTACTTCCAAAACCTTCAGGGAGATTTTTAACATAAGTGTGATCAAACTCTGAATTATACAGCCCAGGACCAGGAGTTGGTTTTATATCTGGATTCCTACTTGTTCGCGAAGAAAATACGGCATTCTCATTATCTAATTTATGGGTGGCAATCTGTTCATGAACAGCTGGATTCTTTGGTTTGCTTACAGTTTTGACAATTCTTCGAACAAAGTTTATATTTCCTTGTCTATTATGCAGAGTATCCTTCATAATTTTAGTATAAGGAACTTTCTTATGAACAGCAGATATGTTAGGCTCATAATAGCCAGGCCCAACACTATTAGAATTATCATCTTCTTTCTTAAAAGGAATTGAAATAGCTGTTTTAGAATGAGACAGTGATGGATTATTTCTTGTTCTGATCAGTCTCTTCTTCTTTGGAGAGTTGTTGTGTTCTATATTATCGCTTGAAAATAATCTCAGTTTAGAGTCATCAACAGTACTTGTGATAGATAATTCATCAATGTTTGGTCTGAGCATGCTCGGTCTTGATCTTGGATTACTATAACGACTAGTTGAGCTTATGAACTAAAATATTAGGCTTGATGAATTACAGAAGAATTCTGCTTCTTTTTAGGAACTTGAAATTCTTGATAATGTCCTGGCCCAGGCAAGGCTTCAAATTTCATTGCCAATTCGCTCTTAAATCTTTCCCCTCATCCTCCAAAAGGGACTGCTCCATGATTATGACATTCTCTGGGGCTAACTCCTGAATTTTCATAAGCTCCTGGTCCAATTGTGTCAGTTTCTGCTGCTGTCCAAACTTTGGAATCTCTTTGACTAAAGGATATCATTTTTAGAGTTATTATTTCCAATTTTATTTTTACTTAAAGGGGTTTTGGGGTTTTGGGGTTTTGGGGTTTTGGGGTTTTGGGG